TTTTATGCTTTCAAATAATTAGACATGCTAAAACAGAATTTGGTTACAATAAAACATAAGGTTGGAAAAATAAAACGTTTCATAGGGCCCTAAACATGTAATATTTGTTCAACTTTTAATAAATTGATGTTAAATTGTTTAAGTTTCATGATTTTAATTAATTCGACATGCTTTTTGATTAATAAAATGTAATTTAACCATTAAGAAGGAGTCCAGAAAAAAAACGAAAAAAAAACGGACCCCCCCCCCAAAGCCGTAAACCTAGGGGAAACACTGCAGTGTATTGAATGCTTTGACCACTACTCTGTCTGTCTGTCTGTATGGCTTCCTTCCTGCCTTCTTTCCTGACATCAACATGAATACCACCCTGAGAACTAGTGGCAAATGTTTACCCTTTTAACTTGTATTTCGATATAAAAAATAAAATTTAAAAAAAGTTAAATTCACCACACTGATTAATTGCATGAGAAGCCAAAATACGAGCTGCTTTCCAAAAGCAGTTCAAGTAGCTTTATGAGTAGCTGTGTGAATGTCATTATATAGCAGACACATGCAAATTAAATGTCATTATATAGCAGACACATGCCAATTAAATGTCATTATATAGCAGACACATGCAACTTAAATGTCATCAATACCAGTTTACCTGCACAAGTTAGGACAGATTTGCTTTAACACTTTGCTGCGAAACTGTTCACATGAACTAAACCCCAAACCACCTGTTCAAGCAAAATTTTACCGAATAAAGCTTGGAAATCAAGCTGGTGTCGGTCCACACAAAACCTCTAGTGTAAAGACACCCTAAAAGTAATATTTATGAATGAGGTGTCTAACCTGCACTTTACTGTCATCTCAGGGTCTGTGGGGAACTCTCACAGTTCTACCCAGATGAACTCTTACTCTGATAGTGGGTATCAGGATGCTGTCAGCTACTACAGCGGTCAGCCACAGGGCGAGTGTCAGCAGAGACTGCAAAACTCATTACCTGCTTCAGGAGGAAGCTCCACACTGCAGAGGGGCTCCAGGGCAGAGGGCCAGGCTGCAGGACACCACCGAACACCTGAGCTTCAGGTAGATCTCACATCCCTCACTTCATAATAGCTAAATCTCTTGAAAAACATGTGTGGGTCATGTTTCACCCCAAAATAAAAAGTACAATAAGAAAATGATGCATGTCTCCTGAAGCATTTATTATTATTATAATTTTTAATATTTGTTCATTTTTCATGACAGTTATGCACATCTACCCCTACATCCTAACTTCTCACTACCATGATGTGTCTTAGTTTTTTGTGTGTGTATGATTCGTATTATTCTCAGTTGTGATACTCGATTCGATTTTTCATTACTGTAATATTGTATTATAAAAACCAGACATTACCATGATGTATAAATACTTCAAATATTGCATTAATTGTTTTGCTTTACCGTAGGGCTGGGCGATATATTGAATATTAGCGATAATATCGCAGAAAATAATTTTAATTTGAAAATAAAAATAATTTTGACGACGATGTAAAATTTGAAAATATCGTGAATTTCGAATATTTCAAATTCAAGCATACTTTCCCAAAAGAACGCGCCGAATGTCCAAAAAAGGAAACAACATGTTATTGCGGACTGTTCTACACGCCTCTACTACACAAGCTTTCATGAGTGCGGTTGCCAGATATCACGAGTTCAAATCCCCGATTCAGAGCTTCGCTGTTACAAGCATACATTTTCTGCCTTATTTTAAGCAATCTGGCAACCATGCGCACGCGCTCGCTCCTCATTGTAGAAGCGCCTCCACCGATGATCTGAAAACACCAACAAACAAGCTGGAGTTTAGCGTTTATCTAAATGAAAGTGTCACTCAACCAGTCCTTGTTCTGTCATGAGATCTCGACTGTATTGTTTGCGATTGTGATCGCTGAATAAATGCACTTACTCAACCGCTGTTGTTTGAATAGAGAAACATAGGCTATGGCAATTTGGAATTACTATTAGGAATTTCACTGTTATAATAATTTTCATTTGTTTTACCAGTTTTCATTATTTTTTTTTTATTATTTAAAAGCAAATGCAAACATATCGAGATATATATATCGAATATCATAAAAACTGACAATATCGAGATTTTTTTTTTTATATATATATATCGCCCAGCCCTACTTTACCGTGATGAGAATTTTGGGGACAAATGTGCTTGATTTGACATTTGAAAATAATTACATACAAAAAAAAAAAGGATTTCTTTTTGGTTTTGCTTTTTGTTTTAATGGACTGAGATATGACCTGGTCATGTTTGATTAAATTAAAAATATATATATATTAAAGGGGTCATAAATTTCCTTGATCTTTTGACATATAAGTGGTCATTGTACTACATACAAAAAACATACAATAAACTTTAGAATTTAATTATTAGTCTAAAATCAGCTTTTTTAAAAACCAGTCTGTCAAAATGAAGCTTTTTGCACTTTTTCCACTTTATTACCTAACCCTCTGGTGATCTTTGTTCAATTTTGACAGAAAAAAAAGACATTTTGTTTTTTACTTCATCGGAATAGTACAAAACTTGTAAAGGTTTTGGCACTTGCTATGTGACCGTAATTCTGCCTTCCTGGCTACAGTCCAATAGAAGAAGACACGCTTATGAGATGTACAAAGACGAAGCAGTAGAGTGTGGGAAAGCTTTACAAAACTACAAACAAAAAATGCTGTCATGTGGACAGGCCGCAGTATACTCACGGCGAAGTTATTTTCAGTAGGAGTAAAAAGCAGCTGGATATATGCAAGCAGCGGTTTACTGTTAGTGAACATGCAGATGCTGCTGAGAGCGGCGTTTAGATGAATGTGTAGATATGTGCTGTGCGCTTTCCTCTCAGTAGCAAAATAAACACATTAAAAATGACAGCGTGGGAAAACAGCAGTTAAGAAAGCATCTGATCAGAGCGATGTGGATGTTTGCACAAGCTCTGTAATCGGCAAGTCATGTCATGTTTATTTATATAACACACTGTAACAAAGTTCGTAGATCGGGAAGAAGGAGGCGGGAACCGGCAAACATTTAAACATAAAAACTTTAATAATCAAATAAACAAACAGAAAACAAAAGTAAAAGCGGCAGCCCCTCACAGACGACTGCCGCATAAAACATAACAAAACAACAACAACATAAATAGTCCAGGCCTGGTCCTCTCTCGTCCTTCACTGTCGTCACTCCTCCTTTTATCCTTCCGGAGCTCCTCCGTGGGACTCGAGACTAGGGTTGGGTACCGAAACCCGGTGTCAATATGTACCTATGTAACCGGTATGTACTAGAACCGAATCAGAACGCAGATTTCGGTGCCTCATTTCGGTGCCACTTAATGCCTGAGCGATTGATTGAAATATTTGTCCTGGTTCTCCAAAATGGACGTTAGAAGCATGGGTGTTGCTAGGCCATTTTTAGCGGGGCTATAGCGATTAGCTCCATAAACTGTACACAAATTCGTGATTGCCTCAGAGTCAGTCCCCCTTTAAATTTCATATGAAAACGGTGGCAGACTTCGTCTCCTCCCGTCTTTCAGCGCGCTTCGCTTTGCAGACCGCGCCGACACAGCGCGAGCGGACTCAAACAGAAACAGGACACAAGGTGTGTGTTTATCGATATATTGTTCTAATATCTGTTATCTGTGCAGTTCTTTGTCATAAATACAGTTTACAAAAGGTCACGAGGGAGCAATCAGTTTCCCATCTACTGTAAAGTTTTCGCTGCGTTCACCCCTCATCACACCACAGCTGTTTCCTCTAGCGAAAATCTAGCCCTTATATGAACGCATAGGCTACTTTATAAAACGATCATGTTGGTTGTAACAACGTTCGTAGTTCGGGAAGGAGGAGGCGGGAACCGGCGGACATTTAAACAATTTAATAAAATAAACAAACACAAAACGAAAGTAAAGCGGCAGCCCCTCGCGGACGACTGCCGCACACAAAACACAAAATAAAGTCCAGGCCTGGTCCTCTCTCGTCCAACACTGTCGTCCCTCCTCCTTTTATCCTTCTGGAGCTCCTCCGTGGGACTCGAGACCGGTGAGTGGCGCAGGTGTCGTGCATTAGCATTTACTCCACCGGCCTCGCTCCGTTCCCACGGCTCTCGGCCCCGCCCCTCTCGTCACATTCGTATTTTCATTTGAAATTTTTATATTTATTATAAAACATATTACAGTGCATGTGGCATACCATACAGTCATTCACAGAACTGATTAAAGAAAGTGACAGACAGCATTCAGTCAATTCACTCATTTTGAAACATTTAGAAACAAACAAGTAGAAACATTATGTGTGGTTATTAGTGGTGTATTAAATATTGTTTTGTATTAAATAATGACCCAGATCGTGAAATACATTTATTAGCCTTAGAGTAAGGGAAGCACAACTGTGGAAATGAGAGCATCCGAGGAGAATGTGAATGCTATGTATATTTATTTTAAATATTTTTAATGTTCTTTAATGTTATCCATGTTTTGTTTTTGTTTTTTTTTGTGGCTTTTGTTTTTTTTAAAAGTATCGGTTCAGGCTCCGGTACCGTTTTAAAAGTATCGATTTGGCACCGGTATCGTAAAAAACCCAATCGATACCCAAGCCTACTCGAGACCGGTTAGTGGCGCAGGTGTTGCTCCTCATCATTTACTCTACCGGCCTCGCTCCGTGTCCACAGCTCTCTGCCCTGCCCCACTCGTCACACACACTTTATGCAAAAGACTGCTTTAAAGCAAGCAGCATTACTGTATTAGACATGAAAAACGGACAGTTTCGCTTTACTTACAACTTAATTACAACTTGATTTTCTGCTATAAAGCAGATTTATGTATATGAATATGTATATATTTTAACAAACTGCAAAAGCTGCAAAATAATTGATTAAAGCCTATTGATTAATCATTGTAATAATTGTTAGATTAATCGATTATCAAAATAATCTCCCAATAATCAATAATCAAAAATCTCCCATAGGTATAGAAACTTTTCTTTCCTCAGAAAGAAAGTGAGCCTGGAGTGCAACACTTTCAGACGCAATGGTGATAAGGCCATTAAACATTGCTTGAGCGTGAATGTCCAGGCATCGCACGCACCTGTCATGAGTACCTCCTCTCATGATGAGTCTGCTACATGGATCAACACATTTTCAGAAACCTATTGTGTCCGCTTCAGAGAAGTAGTAACTGATCTAAAATAGACAGCTGAGAACACGAGAAACACTTTCCGATGGGCAAACAGATAAATCGGTTCCTGAAGGAAGAAACCGAGAGATAGCACGAGCACACTGAGACATATGTTACAAAGCACCATTGGCCAATGAATTGCTGTAATGGTATCAGAGCTTCAGCCAGTCGTCACACCGGGGGTGTTTCCCATAGCGTCAGCGACACAGTGTAGAAGTGAACCTATGAAAGGGAACTTTGATGACATCAGTGCTCACATGGCTTGAACAAAAATGCAAAATTGGCATTTGATTTGAAATTTAAAAAAGTTTCAATTACACCAGCAAAACTTGGTTTTAATTCCAGTCAGCTAAACTAATTTACATTAGACCAGTAACAGGACAGGAAAGTAAATCTGTTGAGTCAGATCAAGTATAAACAGTTTTTTAGAGTAATTGACAAGTTATATGCACTTTTTACTTTTCTGAGAAGATTAATGTTATATCAGCAGATCTTTTTTTTTATTTGAACATCATGGCAGCTTAATCATAACTGTCTATGTTGAGATGCAGTAAAGGATGTTTGCGTCCTCTTGTAGGTGTCGGGAATGATGGATGGGGCTAAACCAGGTCGTGCTATGCGACGAGTTGGTTCAATGCCCGCTCGTGCACAGTCGCTGTACGGAAGCAACATCTCTCCGTCTCGAGGGTCCCTTCGGACCATTGGAAGCTCCTATGGGTTGCCTTTCACAAGCACCTCCCTCTCTGGAGTCCCACAGAAGAGCTCTCCTGCCGCCCTGCGTAGAATGGGCTCCTCCCGCTCGAGTGGTGCCAGCCGCACCACGTCACCCTATTCTGGAGGTGTAGGCTGTGTGAGAGAAGACAAGCAGGCCAGGTCGGGGTCACCAGTCAGGCCAGGGATGACTGCAGTACCACAGCATTATGGGTCGATGATGTCGAGAACGTTTCTGCATGACGTATCTAATCCATACATTACACACAGCTATGAGGTCTACGAGCAGATAGACCCACGACCAGACAGCTTAACAGGTAAGAAAACAGGAAGTGCTTTGTTCTCCTATTCCTTTATTACTCCTATATTCAGCCCTCGAGTGTGAATGATCATACATTTCCTAGAAAAAACAAGTACCTATCTTTCCTGGCCATGTGGCTAACATTTTAGGAACACAATTTTAAGAGTCCCTGTTTACATATATGTCTATTTTGCTCCTGCTCAGGTCTTTGAAGTTGTGGCTATTGTTAGTGATCATAAATTTCTGAGGCGTGGACTTTATCTGCATGACGTATCACAATGATATGATTATGCTGATTGGATTGGGGCTGGTAAAACTTCTTGGCAGGATGTTCTTAGTACATCTTTTGCATACTTTATGTTTGAGACCCGAGTGCTTCATCTTCATCTGCAAGAATGAGAGTCCTCCCTCCAGTTAACATATTAAGTTTGTTCCAAAAATACACATTTCTTGATTGTTTTTTATATTGGCGATATGACGATTATCGAAATTACGATGTCTCGTAAGTATCGCGATGTCAGTCAGGTAACAGACGATTATCGACATTATCGGGGAAAAATGATAAAATGACAAATGATAAACCTAGTAAGTTGCAAAAAATATTTTACATAGCCCCATAGTCACCATACAGTTTTTTTTGCATGCAAGAATTAAATAATTTATTATGAGGGTTTGGAATCGAAAAGTTATTCCAATTTCGATAATCAGATCAGATACGTAAGGTCAGGAATCAAATTACTGGTTATAAAATTACATTTTGATTCTGCTTCTCGATTTCTGTATGCACATTTATTGTGATTTCAAAAGATTCAACTGCAAGAAGAGAAATAGAACTCACTTCTGCACTCACGCGCTGTTTTCTGTGCTGCGCACACACACACACACACACACACACACAAAAGCCGCCTCTTATATACACAAACACTGGACTCTTTCTCGCATTCTTACACATTCTAATGGACAAATACACACAGAATTATATAAAAATATCCCATAAATACAATCGGTTATTTCTTAAGTAAACGTAAGGGTTGAGAAAGAAAACAAGGGTGTATTAGATCCGTGCATTGACAAAAAGTAGCACTGCATGTGTTTCTGAATATTTATTTAAACAGACTGTATAATGATGAAAAACCACAAACATGACGTGTATAATTAAAATACGCAAGTTTCTTCAGCGCACATTTCAGTGCAATATTTTTACTGATTTTTTAAACGGTGTATACAGTATAATTATGTTTAATTAAGCTGAGATATAGCAATATAAATTCTTAATTCATTTGCGCAAACAGATAAGACATTATAGGCCTATATCTCAGCTTGCCCCTCAACATGCACGCGTTCGGAGTTTCGGCAGCCCAACACTGAATATTATATTGTGGCCGTTGTATTTTGATAAATAAAATAAAAATTATAAAAATTACAATACAAAAATGAAATTTAAATTACCCTGCTTCTA